GGGGGGTGTCCTGTTTGGCCTTGACGCAGGAATAGGAATAGAGAGGGGAGGGAGGGAGGAGAGAGAAGGGAAGGGGGAGGGAAGGAAGAGAGGAGGAGAAGGAGAAGGGGAGGGAAGGAGGGAGGAAAAAGAGGAGGGGAGGAGGGAGGAAAAAGAGGAGGGGAGGAGGAGAGGGAGGAAGGAAAAAGAGGAGGAGGGGGAATGGGAAGAGGAAGAGGGAGAATTGGAGGAGGGAACGAGGGACGGAAGGGAGAACAGGGGGAGGAGGGGGAGAGAAGGGAAGTGGGAATGGAGGAGGAAGAGGGAGGGGGGAAAATAAGAGGAAGAAGTGAGCGGTGAGGAGGTAATAGGGGGAGGAGGGGGAGGAGAATAGGAGGGGAAAAGGGGGGAGGGAGAATAGGAGGGAAAAAGGGAAGAGAGGGAGAATAGGAGGGGAACAATGAGGGGAGGGAGAATAGGAGGAAAAAGAGGGAGGGGGAGGGAGAATAGAAGGAAAAAAAAAGAGCGGGAGGGGGTAATAAGTGGAGGAGGGGAAAGAAGAAGGAGGGGAACAGGGAGGAGAGGGAGAATGGGAGGGGGAGGGAGAATAGGAGGGGAATCAGGGAGGGGAGGGAGAATAGGAGGGGAAACAGGGAGGGGAGGGAGAATAGGAGGGGAAACAGTGAGGGAAGGGGGGAAAAGAGGGAGGGGGAGGGAGAATAGGAGGAGGAGGAGGGACGTCCTTTGGTCGATGCCTCGGCGCTCGCTCGCTGGCTCCTTGTCTCGAGGGACCTTGGCGGCGTCGGGGCCTTGCAGAGGGAAGGGAGATGGGGGGATGGGGAGGGGGAAGGGAGGTGTGGGAGAGGAAGGGAGATGGGAGGGGGGGGTAGTGTAGGGAGAGGGGGAGGATGGGGGGGAGGGGAGATGGGGGGAGGATGGGAGGGGGAAGGGAGGTGGTGGGAGGGGGGAGGAGGGGAGGCGGAAGGGAGTTGGTGGGAGAGGAGGGGAGGAGGGGAAATGGGAGAGGATGGAGGGGGAAGGGAGGTGGTGGGAGAGGGGGAGGATGGGAGGGGAAGGGAGAGGGGGGGTGGATGGGAGGTGGTGGGAGAGGAAAGGGGGGGATGGGAGGGGGAAGGGAGGTGGTGGGAGAGGGGGAGGAGGGGGGAGGAAGGAAGAGGGAAGGGAGAGATGAGGGGATGGGGAGGGGAAGGGAAAGAGGAGGGGATAATGGCAGGGGGAAAGGGAAGGGATGTGGAAGGATGGGAGGGGGAAAGGAGAAAGAGAGATGAAGGGATGGGAAGGAGCAAGGGAGAGAGGGGAGAGGATGGGTTTGGGTGAAAATAGGGGAGGAGGGGTGAGGGGATGGGACATGAATTCAAAAGAGAGGGGCTAGGAGAAGGAGAAGGAGAGAGGTGCTGAAGGAGGGAAAAAAGGAAGGGAAAGAGGTATGGGGGTAATGGGAAGGGAAGGGGAAGCGGAGGAAGGGGGAAGGGGAAGAAGGGGAAGTACAGGATCCTGGCGGTGCGGTGTTGGGCTTGGCAGGTCCTTGGGAATGGAGAAAGAGAATGAATGAAAATAAACGAGAGAAGGGAAATGAAAGACAGGTGGGAAGGGCCAGAGAGAGCAGAGAGAGAGAGAGAAAGAGAGAGAGAGAGAGAGAGAGAGGAGAGAAGAGAGAGAGAAGAGAGAGAGAAGAGAAGAGAGAGAGAAAAGAGAGAGAGAGAAAGAGAGAGAGAGAGAGAGAGAGAGAGAGAGAGAGAGAGAGAGAGAGAGAGAGAGAGAGAGAGAGAGGATACACACACCACACACACACACAATCACAAAATCGAATCTAGATTAGGTTTTTCTACTTTGCGCACGTTTTCTGTTTGTGTTCCTGTATTGAGGTTGCAGATTAGTTCGGTGTCTGTCTGTCATGTATAAAAGGTCTTTTGACATGCGAGGTCAAAGCAGGGTCAAGCACGCGTTCCTATTCATGTCTTGGTGTCACTCTTGGCATCACTCTTATTCTTAGTTATTTGCGTTGTCATTCTCTTTTCTTTTGCATTTTTTATGTCTATTTTTTTCTTATTCTTAAACATTTTTGTTGTTTATCTTATTCTTTATTCAGTTTGTTGTCACTCGCTTTCTTATACATTTTTGTTGTCTGTTGTCACTCTCTTTCTTATCTTTCTCTAGTACATTCGTGTTGTCTTTCTCATTCTGGTTCACATTTTGCCATTCTCTTGCTCGTTTTGTTGCCACTCTCATTGTTATTCATTTTTTTGTCATTCTCTTTCTTGCTCACTTTCTTGTCGCTTTTTTTCTTATCCATTCTTGCTGTTATCCCAATCTTGTTTCCTTCCCTCGTTTCTCAAGCTCACATTTTCTCACACTAATGTTTTCGGAATGATGTGGAAAGAGGGAAGTGCGGAATTGAATAAATGGAGGAAATGGAATAATCACCGGTGACGAAATGAGAAGCGAAATAGAGGAGAGGGGAAAAAAGTCGGAAAGAAAACGGGAAGAGGAGGACGAGGAGAAGGAGGGGAGGCTCGCTCAAATTTGCTTTTATTACGGGCTTTCCTCTGTTTTTTTTTTTTTTTTCGTTTTTTTTCTCCTCGGTCTTATCTTCTGATTACTGTTTCCTTTTCCTGCTTCTCATCTGCTCTCTTCCTTTTCTCATATCTGTTCTCACTTCCTCTTTATTCTGTTCTCTCTCTTCTCATTCTGCTTCTCCTTCCTCGTCACATTCTGTTCTGCTTTCTCTTCTCAATCTTTTATTTCCTCCTCCCGTTCCTTAGGTTAATTCTCTATGTCTCTATATTTATGACGTAGTTTATCGGTCCTTCCTGTTTTCGGTTTCCTTCCTTTTCTGCACTTCTTGTTGATTTTTTTTACTTTTTTCCTCTCTCCTTCCCGGGTCTTTTCCTCTCTCTTCTCTCTCTCTCCTTCCACTTTTCTTCCCTTTTTTCTTTCTTTCCCCGTCTCCTCCTTCTCCGCTCCTTCGTTCTCCGCTCTTCTTCTTCTCCGCCACCTCCTTTCTCCTCTCTTCTCCGTCTCCTTCTTCTCCGCCTCCTTCTTTCTTCCGCCTCCTTCTTCTCCGCCTCCTTCCTTCTCCGCTCTTCCTTCTCCGCCTCCTTCTTCTTCTTACTCTTTATCCTTTTCTTCCTTCCCGGTTGCCCTGAGAAGATCAGCG